TTGTTTTTCCAGCTAAACATGGTTCACATGTGTCAAGATCAACACGGGCGAGCGAGCCTAGAAGGCCTTCTCTAGCCAATCTATTCATTCGATCAACACCAATGTGATCAAGTCAACCATGCCACACATTTGGTTCAACATTAGTAAAACTTGTGACAAATGAAAAACAATGATCAACATTACTACTAGTAACATCTATAGTACAATCAAGTACAATGAAACCATCACAAACATAACCAAAACCAAAGAACACAGATCCTAGAGAAATGTGTAAATACATATCATGGAAATTCAAACCAAATCCTAACTTAAGTAAAGCTAAAATAGAGACAAGGTCCCGGCGAATTTCAGGAGCATACAAGACATCATGTAGGATAAGGGTCCTCCCGCCACACATGTGTAGCAGACATGTACCAATACCCAGTATCAGAACTTTGGAGTTATTCCCCACATATAACCATCTTGCACCTTTAGGTATCCGCCGGTACTCCATAAATGCTTCTCCATTTCTAGCTACGTGGTCTGTTGCTCCTGAATCTACAATCCACAAAGGATGAGTTTCTGCAATCATTGCACAACTAGAAACATAAGCATATTTACAAGTGGAGTCCAAGGATGATACCTTCTTTGCCTCAGTGCATTTACGAGCAAAGTGACCTAAAGAGCCACAATTGTAGCATTTAATTTTGTTCTTATCCTTTCTTCCTCCACGTTTACCACGCTTGGCAAACTTCTTTAGTCTCTTAGGATAAGGTTGATTGGGAGCCTCATTTCCCCTTTTACCTTTCTTGCGTTTCAAGCCTGAGGTCGAACCCGCAACGTTGGCCTCACTAAAGGGTTTAGCCGCCGCTAGGCTTTCATCCTCTAACTAAAGATGACGTGATATATCCTCAAATGTTTTCACATTAACATTGTGTGTCATCTGAACTTTCATATGATCCCAACTTTCAGGTAATCTGACCAGCAGTCTTGAGCTCTCTAATCATGTTTGACACGACTCTAAGATGTTGCCTCATAGATTGGTTTGGGCGCTTCTTGTAGTCATTAAACCTTTGATTAAGTCTCCTATGTTTGGTAGCCGCCTCCCATATGCCTTTTGCAGTTTCCTACTCCTCAACTTCACACATAAGATCATCTTGCATACAATTCATCAACATAATGCGAGCGATGCTATTCTTTCTTTTCCAGGCAACATATGCCTCTTGATATCTCCTGTGATGAGCTGTAGTACCCTGCTCAGGCTCTTCCATAAGATGGAAAAGAGTCTCTTTCACCTATTGCTCTTCGAGTACATACTAGACTTTACGATACCAAATATCGTAATTATCACCATCCAGTTTGTCTCCTCTATTAAGCTCAGCAATGATGTTCTTACAAACCTACGACATGCCTTTTTGAACATTCAGAGACATTACTTTTCTTTGCATATTTCCCACACACAACACACAATTTTGCAATGAACACAAATTAATTTAAAGTAACTCAATTTATAATACAAGATCGAGAGTTCACTATGTTCCCAATCATCACCCGTATTACAATCGTATCACAACAAATTAACTTGTTCCACGCAAAATTTTAAGTTCTAAACAAATTAAAACTCCCACTTGATCAATGTATTTTCCATTATGAATCAACAAATGAAACATAATAATACATTTACCAATTCTTATTAACAAAATTAATTTAATTTTGTAAACAAATATTTTATCTCAAAATTGCATATTCAAATTCTCCACAAAGAGACGAATCTAGCAAAATTTTTATTTTTAAATTTGAACATACTAAACACATTCTATGACTAAAACGCTATGTATTTTCAGACAAATCAGAAATTGACACATGGCGGTTACTGTTCATCGTCTTCCTAACATATAAAGTTTTACAGCGATTCGATACAGACTAAAATCGCGCGTTTGATATATCATTGGAAAGATAATTTTAGCATCTACAAATAGATACCAAAATCGCGCGATTCCGATCATGGAGAAGAAAGATATGAGCGATACAAAAAGTCCATTTTATTTATAATTTATCCAAATTCGTGCAATATGTTTCGGTTCTCAATGCGATAATTTCCAGAAACATTCAAGACAATATGAAAAACAGCTATGCAAAGTTTCAATTCATTTCATCAAAGAATCACGAAGTTACCAGTTGCACCCATTCATATCATTAACCGATTTCTACAATTCATCATGAATGAGCGGTTCTAACACATGGATCTTTTTCTACATGCTAACAAAGAACGTAAACATGCCAGAACCGAATCCTAATGCTCTGATACCAATGTTAATCTTATATGCGGAAGCGTTAAACCGGAACACATACCTTGGCCGGTTTGCTGAAGAACTTGGCACGGATTCGACTGGAAATCGACGCAGAGATCGGGGTTGAGATCACAGACGGAAATCAACCACAAGACGGAAATCAACCACAAGCCACCGTTCAAATGCCCTTCCGGTTGATCTCTCGAAGCTTTCTCTCTCTAAACCGTTTTTCCCTCTCTCTAGAGTTTTCTCTTTGTGTCAATGGACACCAGTGTATTTATGTCTCTCTGCAAATGTCTATTATATAGACAACGAAAAGACATGTACCAAAAGACTCGATTGTCATTTGTTTAGTTATGATTATTTAATATCCCATAACTACCGGTTAACTAAACCGGTTCAGTATGCTGCCAAATCATGGGCGCAAACCAACAATATACAAATAAAGAAGCTTATCACGGACTTGTACAACAAAGATTTGTTTCTTTTGCTTTTTAAGCTTCTTCTTGATAAGGTCGTTTGCCACATATATAAAAGGTCATCGTTCATTTTAAGAATCATTTTGAGCTTTTTGAATCTCTTCAAGCATCTCTGGCTCAAGTCATATGGATTGTAGATCAACCCCGAAGGAAAAAAAATTAAGTTATCAAGTTAGCTTCTAAGCTCTTACTTGTCACAAAGGGCTAATCCAATGAATTGTAGATCAAACCCGCATAGTAGGATGTTAAACTAATCCAAAAATTCCAAATGTCGGTTTCCTTCCTAAATATAGTAAGCACTCCTGACCCTATCCTGGCACCGTGACCATGTATTTGTTAGACCATGTATTTGTTGGTTACGCAAACATATCACATATGAAATGAATCGAGCTGGCTAATGTTGCATTCTTTGACAATATCATACATAGCGTAGCACAAAATGTATCGGAAAAGAATAAAACAAATATATATATTCAATACTGGATACCAAAGAGTCTCTCTAAGAGCATGAGTATCCGTGATACCATGAGGTATCATCAACATTAGTTTAATAATTTAATCTATCACATGGCTCATGATACGTTTCATCCGTTTCACTCTATTGATACGTTTCACGCGAGTATCTCTTTTTTAATTAATTTTTTTATTCAATTTTTTTTTATGATACTCCTTGTTGTATCATGAGTAATCATGCTCTAAGTATCATTTTTGTTGAGATTAGAGTCACTCAGAAACACAAAGCACAAAGCTTTGTAACTAAAAGGCTTGCAGAAACGTTTC